GTGTATATATATATATATACACATGAGGTTTACCACCTCATGTTAAAATGATAATTCCTCTTGATTTTTGCAGATTTTTGCCACCATCTGTATTAATATGGAAATGGGCTTAATATTTTTTTCTGATCAGACTATCTTTCTGCACATTCATTTCCCAAGGTTTTCAACAAACAGTAAAATATTCATTAATTGTTACAGATATGTAAATTATATAAAGCCTGCTAAATTGTATAAAGCCTACTACCTTGGGAGCAGGCATCCTAAAAAAAAAGCTAAAGCTTTAAAGACCCTACTAAAGTTACCTTCAGGAACTGATGCAGCCTCTTGCCTCTACCTGTCAGCCATGTACCTGAACTGGTTTGCTGAGTTTGCTGCTAGTGTCACAAGTGGGTAATCATGAAACACAAGCTAATGGCAACGGGAAATTCAGAAGCCCAGTTCCATGTGAGAGTATTCTTCCCTGTCATCTCTTTGGACTACAGCACAAAGATCAGTAAAAAAAAATAAATCCCAATTTGGCAATCCTGCTGGATGCCAAGCAGAGAGAGACCAAGCTGAGGAAAAATATACAACCAGCTAAGTAACTAAACATTATGTACAGCATTTTCTTGATAGCCTCTGTCTCTACCTTCTGTCCTGCAAGACACTATAACACAACAGCATGAACCTACAGGCTAATGTGGAGTGTTTTAAAGCTGCATGGTTAAGCTTGGTACCAAATTACTATAAGAAAGTTACATGAGATGAAACACTTCTGAGCTTGAAAATTCCAGCAGCCTTATTCCTTCCATTGTTATGAATCCCATCTTTCCTTGTCTTCATACAGAAAAATGCGCTAACAAATGAATGTCCCCTACTCCTCACAATCACTTAATGAATTGGAGTTACATTGTCGAAGTTACTATTTGGCCAAGACAGCATTTTAGATGCTTAATTAAACTCCTGACTCAGCTGAAAAGCAGCCCTAAAACCAGGTCTTTCTCTATTAAGAGCATGTCAATTTCCTTTTTTATGGCCTTTCAGCTGCTTCTTTCAGCCCACCCCTAAAGCAACACTTCCATTATACATAAGGAAACAAACCAATAATAAAACACAACCAACAGGTTTAGAAAATGGTAAATATGAAAGCTGAGCATGAACTGCTAGACAAGACCATAACCATAGATAAGGGTAAAAAGTTGTCTACAATATTATTTTTCTCCTGTAAACTTTCAAAAAGTTGCTTCCCAAATTTGATTTGTTATTAGATACAAATAAAAGGTATCTGTATCTGAGAAACAATTGGTTTTTAAACACTTTTTCCAGTTAATGTGCATCCACATGCACATGTGTATGTCTGTGTGCATTTTTCTTTCCTGGACTGAACTCACTATTGAATTTTCTATTTTTTATTCTTTCCTTCTAAAAGTGGAATTGTTTTGTCTGCTGAAAATATTCCCTGAGCATAACATAAAGAGACTCTTACTTTATTTCTTTGTTTTAAGCATCTTGGCAATTTAATAATTTTATTTGAAACATACTGTGATAAGGTTGCCTGATACCACATTACTTTATTGCGCAAATTGTGTCATAGGAGTCTAATGCTGAGCACATTTCCACTCACTAACCATGAAAAGTATGGCCTATGGTGCTTACAGCCATCATAAACAAGTTATTTCCTCATTCCCCTTTGACAGTCAGTGATTATATGGAATTAAATAGTATTTTTATGATCATTTTTTGGTCTTGAAGGTCCCCAGGATTTTGGGCATGAATTTTCCCATCTTCTTGTCTTTGGCATCTGTGTCATATTCCTCTTCACTTTGACTTGTATGTTCATCCTTTTTGCAGAAGACCTCAAACCGACTGTAGACTCGCTTCTCCTTCCTCATATTTTCCATTTTTTTCAGAAGGGTATCTCTATCCTCTGATGGTTGCCGTTGAAGATTTCGTTTCTGGCTCCCAAAACTCTCTGACCTATGTATGTTACAGCTTTTCTCCTTCTCACCTTTCCTTTCCAAGTTTGTAGTGGACTTAGAAAGATCAGGATTACTAGTGGATGGCAGTTGCTTTGCCAGCTCAGCTCTGTTCTTCTGACTGTTTGCAGAGATTTGTTCCAAAATCACCTTGGTATCATCACGGAGGTTGCTGCTGTACAGGATGTTAGCTGTGGATGAAGGAAATCTCCCCTGTGTTGGCTGGCTGCTTTTGGGAGGAAGGGGTGTTGCAAATTTATGGGGTTTTTCTTCCTCCATCATTTCCTGACAGTCCCCTATGGAAGATCGTTTGAGAACCACAGCCTGCTTGTCAGATTTTCCACTCTCAGAAGTGGGTTCCTCCTCCAATTTCTTTTCACCTTTTGGGTTCAAAAGCTGCTTCAGCCGTAGTGACCCTTTTCTTAAAAATTCCATTGGATTTTGTTCTTGTTTTGAACAGTCTTCCTCAGATTTATTCAGAGAGCTGTCAGATCCTTGACTTCTAGATAAGTTTTCAAGAACTGATGTGGTACTTGTCCTAATCTGTGGTTTCTTCAGTTCTGTATTGACTAATTTTTGAGTGTCGTCTTTGAATGTCACTCTTAGAGTCAATTTCTGAGTGTCTCCTACAAATATAAGACTCTCCTTCTCTGGAAGAGCAGGTTTATTCTCTATGGGGTAAAACCGAGATGATAATTTGTCCACCTTAGTGCTAATATGTGCTAAGGGATCTTTACTCAATGTGTCAACAAGCTGGGGGGTTGATGAGGCCATTCCAAATGGTCTGTCAGCCTCTCCATGCACTTTGTAAGTACTGCAGGAGTCTTTGGAGTCTAGTACCCTACTCTCCAGAATCTTGTATTGCACGGATTTGGTACATTTCTTCTCTGTGTTCTGTGATTCTTCCTGTAGATAACTGGAAACAGCTTTGGTATGAGTGACTGTAGCTCGCTCTGTGTCTTTGCCCACAGCTTTGTACTTCTCTAAAAGTTCTGCCACTTTAGATGAGGCAGCTGTCTTAATAGTTTCATTGTCTTTTGTCAACTCACTGGACATTTGTTCTTTTTGGATCATCTGAACCTTTTCTATTGTGGTGTTAGGCTGATCTAACTTGGCAGCACTGAAAATCAGAGAGGACCTGAGTCTTGAGCTCCTCTGGATCAAAGGATTTATTCTGGACCTAAAGGCATCTTGTTTCATGATAGGGGTTTCTTCACCTACTCTATCAGGATCTGCAAATTCTTTGGCACTTTCAATTCCCAGTGACTTGGTATTAAAAGTCATAGGGGATTTGAATGCTGGGATGAGGTCAGTGGGGTGCTTTGTGAGGGTATCCCCAAGAACATCATTATATGCCTCTGATTCCATAGGCATCGGAAGACCTTCTTCTGGTTCAGACTGGTATGCACTAAGGTATGAAGAAATCCTCCAGTTACGTAAACCTGTTCTATTTTCCTGTGTGTTCTTGTCTTCATCTTGGTCCTCATCTTTGTCTTGTAAGAACAGGCGTTGTTCCAGGCTTTGTTTCTGTGTAGGGGAAGTCTGGCAAATAAATTTTTGTCCTATATTCTGCCTTCTTAACATCATTCCCATTGGGCCGTTGCCTGCAGGATTCAGCTGATCAGAGCCATGTCTCACTTCCCTGGAAGAATTCGAAGGTACGTAATCCAGCCTTAAGGGGAAACCCTCCTGTGGAAAATTGGATTCAAGTTCAGGATATCTGGGTCCCTCTCCATAGTCTTCGAGTTCACTGAATCCTGGCCTACCACCTCGGATTCTCTCAAAGAGTCCCTGAGGTCTGCCAGAAAGATGAGGATGTTCAAATTGGTACTGGTAGAACTGATCCTTCTGAAAATGACTAGACTGTATTTTAAATTCATCCATATTGTTCATGAACATCTGCCTGGCATACTGTTTAGAAGAAGCAAAATTTTCAAATGTTCCTTCTGCAAAACTGTGTCTCTTAAAAGCATCCAACTCCAACTGCTTGGAACGGAGAAAACCCCTGACAGGATCCATCTGGGAATTCTCCATTTCTACCTTTTTATACATTCGCATGGCTGATCCCTCCACAGTATGACGCAACATGTCATCCCGCCTGAAATTTGACAGGAAGTACCTGTCTGGATCAACTCTGTCCATAAAGGAAGGAAAAAGACTGTCATCCCTCTGGAACATCAAGGGTGTTTTTTTTGGAAAGAAAGGCATATTATTGCCAAAAGGAGTCATGGCAAATGTGTTCTCTGCCTTTGCCAAGACATTGGCTGGAGGAACAAGAGGTTCTGACTGTGCAAACAAAATTCGGAATTCTTCATCGAAGCTGGCCACCAGCTCCCCCTGGAAGATGTGTGCAATGCTTCTGTGAATCTTCTCAAAAGACCACATAAAACTACAAAGAGAAACAGAAGTAATGATAGTGTATTAGCATCAACTTGATTGTACCACTTTACATTAAACCATTTGCTTGCCTGAAGAAAATTCTCCTAATATTATTTACTGCTCAGGCAGCCATTCATTACACACTATTGTTCCCAAGCCTCATAGTTATGAACTGATTTGGCATCACATCTTTGCAGAGGATTTTATAAGGCAATACATGAACTTCTGTTCTAAAAAAGCCCGTCTAATAACAACAGCAAGAGAGCAAGCTGATGATAATCCTTATATGAAGCAGATGTTCCTGCAATTACTTTGAGTTCTAATCGGGTTTTATAACTAAAATTCTGTGCCCATCTTTAAAAAGAGAAAAAGGATCAACTAGGGAACTACAGCAAGTCAGCCTTACCTCAGTCTGAAGAAAAATTGTGGAGCAAATCTTCCTGGAAGCCATCTCCAGGCACCAGAATAACAGAAAGACAACTGGGATCAGACAGCAAGGATTTACCAAGGGCAAACCATGCCTGACCCAGTCTCATTGCCTTCTACAAATAGAAAGCTGGCTGCATGGACAAGAGACCAGCAGAAGAGGAGGTTTTTCTTGACTTTAGCAAGAGTGTCCACATGGCCTTTACATAAGTATCTTTGTAGCCAAATTGGAACACTGCAGACTGAATGAGTGTGCCCACAGTAAACGGGAAAGTGGTTGGACTGTCGGGCTTAAGGGGTGGTGGTCAGTGATTTGAAGTCTGATTGGTGGACAGTTACAAGTGCTGTTCCTCGAGGGCCAAGGCTTGGGGAAATAGTCTTTAACACTGTCATTAGTGACCTGGACAACAGGACCCTCAGCAAGCTTGCAGATGATACCAGAATGGGGGGATGGTGCAGTTGATGTACCAGTCAGGGGGACCTCAACAGGCCGGGGAAATGTGCTGAGAGGAACCTTATGAAATTCAGCAAAGACAAATACAGAATCTTGGACCTGGGATTGAACAACCTTATCACCAGTACAGGCTGAGGATGACTATCTAGAAAGCAGCTTGGATGGAAATGACTTGGGGGTTCTGGCAGGCAACAAGATGAAAAAAGACAGCAACACCTTTGCAGCAATGGTGGCACAACATATACAGGGCTGCAGTTGTAAAAGTGCAGCCAATAGGTCAATGGAAGCAATTATTCCCCCCCTAGTCAGGACTTGTGACACTGTATCTGGAGTACTGAGTCCGGTTTTCACAGAATGGTTGAGGTTGGAAGGGACTTCTGGCAGTCATCTGGTCCAAACCCCCCTGCTCAAGCAGGGCCACCTAGATCCAGTTGCCCAGGACTGTGTTCAGATGTTTTTTGAGTATCTCTAAGGAGAGAGACTCCACAAGGTCTCTGGGCAATCTATTCCAGTATGCACTTAACCTCACAGTAAAAAATTTTTTCCCTATGTTCAAAAGGAACCTCCTGTGTTTCCGTTTGTGCCCATTGTCTCTGGTCCTGCCACTGGGCATCACTGAAAAGAGCCTGGCTCCGTCCATCCTCTTTGCGCCCTCCCTTCAGGTATTGATATACATTAATAAGATCCCCCCAAGCCACCTCTTCTCTAGGCTAAACAGTCCCAACTCTCTCAACCTTTCCTCGCATATGAGGTGCTCCAGTCCCTTCATCACCCTTGTGAACCTTCATTGGACTCTCTCCAGTATGTCCATGTCTGTCTTGTACTGGACACAGTACTCAAGGTGTGGCCTTACCGCTACTGAATAAAGGGGAAGGATCACCTCCCTCAACCTGCTGGCAATGCTTTGCCTAATGCAGCCCAGGATACCATTTGCCACCTTTGCCGCAAGGACACATTGCTTGGTGTCCACCAGGATCCCCAGATCCTTTTCTGTCAAGCTTTCCAGCTGGGTGGCTCCTAGCATATACTGGTTCATGGTTTCCCAGTTTTAGGCTTCCCAGTACAAGAAAGCTTTTGACAAAGTGGAAGAAGTTTAGCAGAGGGCTACCAAGAAGGATATCAGGATAGAGTATATTAGGTATGAGGCAAGACTGGAAGAGCTGGGCTTGTTCAGCCTGAAGAAAAGTATACTAAGGATGGCGGGAGGGGGGCAATAAGCCGATTGCTGTCCTCAACTACAAGCCAAAGGTTGGCTTAAGGAAAATGGAGCCAGCATCTTCCCAGGATCCTGCTTCTACATTGCAGGATACAAGGCAACAGATACAATTGTAGCAAGAGAAATATCAATGAGCTATAAAGAAAATTCTTCACAATGAGGGTAGTCAAACATTGGAGCAACTGTCCAGGGAGGTTGGGGAGTCTGCATCCCAAGAGATATTCAAAACCTGACTGGACATGGCCCTAAGCAACTTTACGTAACTTTGAAAATGGCTTTACTTTGAGCAGGGATGTTGGACAGCTACCAGTAAATTGTACGTGAGAACTTTCAGGCTGAGCTACAAAAGGTTTCTAATATCAGCATAAGAAATATTTACATTTGCCTTCCTATATGATGTTATTTGAGGGAATTTTTGAGGCTGCAGTGGGGGAAGGGATACTGACAGACTGGAGTAGATTTTGCTTATGAACAAAGATATAAGATATGCTTTGATCTAACAATAGAAAATTGGATACAATAACATACAGAGGGGTATTGAGCTACTCGGGCATTACACAGGTGTAGTTATTAACAATAAAGGCATAGGTAATTCCATACAATTAACTTGCTCTTGAAATGTAAAGGCCTACTCCTTGGTCTCTTTAACTCTTCTGCTTTGAAGGAGTTGTTGGATTAGGGTTGGTCAGTGGTGCCCTGTGACAGGACCAGAAGCAATGGGCACAAACTGAAACACAGGAGGTTCTGTTTGAACATAAGGAAACACTTTTTTACTGTGCAAATGACTACGCACTGGAACAGGTTGCCCAGGGACCGTGTGGAGTCTCCCCCCTTAGACATATTAAAAAAACATCTGAACATAGTCCTGGGCAACTGGCTCTGGGTGGCCCTAATTGAGCAGGGGGGGGTGGACCAGCTGACTGCCAGAGGTCCCTTCCAACCTCAACTGTTCTGTGATTCTGTGCAGGAGGAGGAAGACATTCAGCGTTATAGTCTTTGTCTTTCCAAGTCAAGCTTTGCTTTCCTGAAAATGGCTAGATATCTGCCTGCCAATGGGAAGTAGTGAATGGATTCCTTATTTTGCTTTGCTTGTGTGCACAGGTTTGCTTTAGCTATTAAACTGTCTTTATCTCAACCCACAAATTTTCTCATGTTTGCCCTTCTGATTCTTTTCCACATTCTGCTGGGAGTAGTGAGTGAACATCTGTGCAGGGCTTAGCTGCCTGCTGGGGTTAACCCACAGCACCTTATAATTACTGTATCTGTTTTACAGATCGTTTACACTCATGATGCGAAGGAAGCTTGGCTTCAGTTGTCTGGGCTTAAGGGCTTGCTTAATTGATGTATTTACCTTGGTTGCAAAATGGTGTATTTTTCCTGAAAATTGCTGCTCAGTATCCTTCAGTGAGAAAAACTTTTGTCACTGATGTTCATTTGGAAGTGCCGAAGCACTGCTTTACCAATTAATCAGCCTCATTCTCACTGAAACTGTGACATGGAACATTGCAGAGCTTCTCACCTGTAGCTGCCACTCAGCACCACCATGCAGTCCACCAAGAGGAATTTCTCTTTCACATGGCCTTTGAAGGACATCCCTGTGCGGCAGTAGTAGGTTGGGCCAGAAACTGTCCTCACCCTTAGGAACTGCAAACCAGACAAAGCACCGACTCAGTTGGAAGCTGTTACTTCCCTCCCCCTGCCTATCCTTCTTCCCCTTGCTCTTTTAAGTTCCATCCTGCCACCATTTTTATACTTCAGCTCTAGTGATTCTCTCTGCAAACACAATGGATAGATAAACCCCTTTATTAATGTGCCCTCAGCCTTCAGCCCTGTATTGTTGTACCAGCTCTCCTAGTTTTCTTCATACTCATCTTTCACTGAACTCTGGCCCATTTTCCCCTTTCTCAGGTTTTTACTGTCGTAACAGCCCTCTGTGTCCCAGGACATATCCCCCTCAGGGTGTGAATTAGAGGCAGGGCAGGTCTTTGGTTTGCTCACCTCCACATAGTTAAGATTGACTCTGCATTTAGCAGCTGTATCGAGGAAAAGTTGAGAGTTCATTTCATCCAGCAAGATATACACAGGCACTCTGCGAGCAGCAGCATCCAACACCTCAAACAGCAGATCCACATCAGTGAAAATGTCCATCACTATGGCTACCACCTAGGAAAAGAATGCAAGAAAATCATCAGCAATCTGTGTCTGCTTATGCACTGACTGATCACGTTCCCCAGCACCTCACATTCCCAAGCTGCACTGTCTCCATTTCAACTTCCTTTTTAAACATGAACCTTCTCATTTAAAGGTTCCTTTAGACATTGTGGACCCCAGAACTGGAAACAGAATTGCTATCTAAGGTGCATATTCTGTATGCGAGGCTAAGAGGTGAGGGAAAAACCTCACTGCCACTGAGTGGTCCCTTACTCATTAATCCAATGATAGCAGGTATTTTTTTGGTCATGTAGCCACACTGGAAGGTTGTATTGAGCTGCTTGGCCACTACCTGCTCACTCCCTCCAACACACCCATGCCATTTTTAGGTAACTTCCTGGCCAACATTCAGTCAGCCACTATATAGCTGCATCTATATGGTGATAGTATGGGAAGTAGCTTCAAAATTCCATCTCCTTGTGCTTACCAACTCTTATTTTATCAGTGAGTATAAATACCTGATGGAAGGGCGTAAGGAAGATGGAGCCAAACTCTTGTCAGTGGTACTCAGTGAAAGGACAAGACACAAGACACAAATTGAAACATAGGAAATTCTAGTTAAACATAAGAAAAAACCTCTTTTACTGTAAAGGTGATTGAACACTGGAACAGGTTGCCCAGAAAGGTTGTGGAGTCTCCATCCTTGGAGATACTCAAGGACATGTCCTAAGTAACCCTTTCTAATCAACCCAGCTTTGAGCAGAGGACCTGGACTGGACCATCTACAGAGGTCCTTTTCAACCTCAACTATTCTGTTACTCTGTGAACTCTTTGTATGTTTTATCATGGCCTTACACACTTTTCCATGAGACCAGAGAGCAGAGGCTAGCTTTGATGCCATAAATGGTAGTTTTAGAATCATCCTTCCCCTCTGTTAGGTCCTGGGGGCAAAGTTAAGGAAATTAGCAGAGGACCTGATGCATTCTGATTCATCTTTCACACACATATAATTTTATCTCTGCTCTAGCTAGGCTCTTCAATTTCTCACCTGTTGAGCTGCTCGAATCATTCTGCGAGCCTCCTCCTTAATGCTGGGATTGTCCGGGGGTGGTGGTTGCACAAGGGTTGTCACCTCTGTTCCCCTGAACCCAAAGACCATTGGCCAGCCCAGGTCAAGCTCAGGAACAGCGAGGTCTGAGTTCATGGGCCAGTAAGTCCCAGATGATCCATCCATGTCATTGTCACCTGCAGTGTCTGTGCTACCTTCCTGGTTGGCATACTGGGGTTTCTGGAGATTCTGTATGATGTGATCTACCTCTGAGTTGCAAAGAAAATCTGGGGCTGCTTCCTCTGCCAGAAAGCGTTGGTAACTTTCTTTGCCCTCTTCAGTAAGCACATCCAGAGCTAAGCGGTAATACTCCTTGTAATGGGGAGGAAGATAGTTAGGGTCAAGGGGATTGTCCCCCTGTGAGGAGCTTTGAGATCGACGAGCCATGAGGGGAGGGAGAGCTGCAAGAAAAGAATAACCAACAGTGAAAGCAGTTTCGCTCCAGTGACACATCCATCCTTAATAAATGGTGAGGGTTGGGGGTTCATGATGGCAAAACCAAAAGGGAAGATATTCAAAGGACACAGGGTAATGTTGGAGAAAGTTCATCCCAAATGGATGAGGAGCCTTAAATCAGGCAAAGGTGGTAATCACTTAAGCATTACTTTAACACAGTTAAATGTCTTTAGGCAAAATAAGGAACAAATCAAATTGGGTAGCACTATGATGAACAAGGATGATGCATCCTACAGAATTTCCAACTTTCTTTTCTCAGCTGCTGATTGCTAAGCTTAAATTTGCCTTTTATTTTAAAGCTACCTTTTCTCTCCCCTCTAAAGAACAATGCTGATGGTTATTATCTGGACTCCATTAAAACTCATTTCCAAATGCTACAAAAATTATTTACTGTGTGTAATACGGCACTAAAGCAAAAAGTATATGCATTTATATAAATGCACCCTCTGAATCCTTATAAATTGAGTGTTATAATCACCTCAGCATATGAGCAGAAGCAGGGTATAAGTGGAATGCAGGCAAGTATAAGGGTGTCCTGCTGTTGTAACACGGTCAGAAGTCAGACAAGTCTTCATGAGATCCATGAAGAAATAAAAAAACAAGGGACATGATGCTTCTTCAATCTCTTGATGTTGGGAAAAAGCTGAGCTGAAGTGGCTCATATTAAATATTTGACAATTGTCTGTAGGAAATCTATTATTTGAAACTAAAGACAAATTTGATTTTAACCAATTTTTGGAAGAAAAGCTTGTTGTGCCACAAATGCAACTCAATAAATAATATCCTACTGATCTGCAGAGAACTCCACAGCACTTTGGCTTCTAACTGTCAATTAAGGTCAATGCTTGGACATACTTTTCCTGGGGCCCCAGCACTAATATGCCAACAGAGGTTTCCTCATAATCAAAAAAAAGAATGTGGCTGTCCTTGACCACTCATGCAAAGTTACATTAATAGGAAGTGTGAGTATATAGGGTGAAAGCAGCTGCTATTGTCATTGCCATCCAACACCTCTGCTCCCAAAATGGAAGGGATTGCCATGGATGTTGGGGGAAGAAAAAAACCTTCAGGCCCATACTATCACTCTTGTTAATAGCTGTAAGTATAAAGCTAGAATAGTTTCAAGATAAAGCCTAAGTGGACTTTCTTATCTGACTACCTGCATAGCACAGATCAGTGCTGTATTACTCCTGCCTCAAACTCCCACAAGTTACTCCTGCTTCGAACTATAACACCTAGTAGAGCTGCATGACACAACAGGAAAAAAATACGGTCTTAATATAAAGATAGCAACTGAATCTAACAGGTCCCTGTGCGAAGTATTCCAATAGATAATCATCTTTATAGTCTACTCATGTAGCCTTATTTGTAGTCTAGATTGTCTGGATTTATCTTTCCACTCTAATTCTCATTCTATCTTTTTTCTCTGAAAATAAAACACAGTCTACTATATACCTCCATTTTGGTGTGCTCAAGTGACCTACGTACCTGCTCTTAACTATTTTTGTAGTGTCTTTAGTCTTTCATTTTAAGGAAATGCTCCCAGAGTTCCATTCATTCTTGGATATGAAACCAACATATTCAACATATTCAGATATAACCCATAAAGGGGATGAATGGTCATGCAGACATCAAACTGCTCATAATGCCAGCTTGCCCAGAGCAGTAATGATGAGAGCCAACTACAAAAACCAAAAATGAAGGAGCAGAAGAACCTTATGATACTCACTGGACAATCAAAATGGCAGCTGAAATACAATGTTGATAAATATAAAATGGTGAAACAACCTTAATTGTATATTTTATTGATTAATATAATTATTTCAATACTCTCATAAATCAAGGAGAAAATGGGCTTTTGAAGGAAAAGTGTCAGCTAATGCTAAGTATTATTAAGTAAGGAATAGAGAAAAATAACACTACTACACAGATTCAGAGGGAAGTGACAACCTGAATGTGTTGTGAATATGAAAAATCTCATTCCTCACATCTTGACAAGGGCTATTATACATTGGAACTAGGAATCTGTAGTCTAGGTAAGACATCAACAAAATATAACCAGGGACAGCTGTCCATTTTCTCCTCCAGCACAAGAACAAAAAGGGCATAAAATTAAACAAGTAGGTAGTGAGTTCAAATTGAACACCAGGAAACACTGTTTCTCAATTGTACTTACTCTGCAGCACTCCTTCCCACAGGAAGTTTTAGGATGGTTAGAGAAAGTATGTGAGAACAGGACAGGCATGGAATACTTTGTCAGAACACTTTTCCATCATCCCAAAATTTGTGGCTGGAAAGGTAGGTCAGGAAAGATAGGGGGAAGACTAAGTGGGGTAGTTTTTACAATAAGAAGAGTCACTTTAGTTCCTCAAGGATTTGTGGTAGTCAATATATTCATGAATAAGCAGGAAAAATAGTACCAGTGAAGAAATAAATTTGATGCAAAAGCAAAATGATCCTCATGGTTTTTTCTAAGCCACTGGCCACAGGGAGAAAACAAATATGGAGCTGGAGGGACTCCTGGTATGACTGCATATAGTGATCATAGGTGAAGTGGGACAGATGGTCCCAGGAGGGTCACTGGTCTGTGAGGGATGTTCAGAAGGGTACCTGTGCTTCTCCTGTAATGTGGAGAGACTTCTGCACTCGAAGGTGCTGCCAGAATAAAAACAGTCTCTCGGGAGGGTGTTTCCTCCTCCCGTCCTTGTTGGAGGGTGTCATTTCGCTGTGTGTGCACTAAGGAGTGTCAGCCTCGGCTGTGAAACGCACCGATGACTGCTCCCCTGGGCTTTGTGCGGGCTGGGCAGAGGGAGTGGCGTGGCCGGAGGGCAGGCAGGAAGCAGGTTTGTCAGCACCCAGGCTGGGACACTTTTTGGGCCATCAGCCTTCACGCTGCTCAGCCCAGACTATCGCCCACCTACAGCCGTGCTGAGGAGTCTTCAGCCTCCGAAGAATCAGCAAAGAGATCACTACTGACCACAGGGAAGCAGGGTCGGTGCCTCAGCCACCCTAGGAGCACCAGGGACAGACAGGCCGGGGCGGGGCAGCCTGGTCTCCAGACGTCACCTTTACCTGTGAAAACAGGTCCTGAAGGCCGCAGCAAACACCTGAACTGGATTGCACCAAACACCGGAGCATGAACAGACCTCTGGCTGACTAATAAGGCTGGAAAATCTGCATCGTCACCCTCTTTGGCTCGCAAGGAGGGAGATGCTGTGCGTTATTTCAGCCAGCTCCTTCTTAGAAGTTAATGCTGAGAAAGCACCATCAAGTCCCACTTGGAAAGAACCTGCAGCCTGCTGAGTGTGCCATTGCTGTGTTTGCCCAGGCAAGGTTCTAGTCATTAAGCCTCCTCACTTCCTTCAGGTGGTGTTTAATTTCTTCCAAAATAGACACACAGATCTGACTGTGAAATAAACCCCAGAAATTATGTTTCTGCCACCATAAGCCTAAGTAACTCATGACCTGCAAGGGTATAAGTACAAGTCCCTAACAAATAGACACAACAAATTTAAGAGTAGCTACAGTAAGTGTGTTTGACCACTACAGTGTTCCCAAGGAAAGGCAGGAAAACTGTAAAAAAAGTATCCTTTTCCTGCAAGAAGACCCTAGATCAGCCTGAGCCTAAATGTAGGGAAATGCTAGAGTTTGCTTACTTATAAAATAGAGCTGTCACGTACTTTGATTCTCCTGAAGAGATCCCCATTTTTATTTTAGAAATGAAGTTCAGAAAGAATCCGAAGATTTCATACTTTTGTCTGCATTGTGTGACAACTTGTTTGTAGCAGCAGTTGTAACTCTGAGTGGGCAGCCTGCTACGCGTGCATAGATGAGCTCTACAGTGTGCAGAGTAATAGCACTAGTGCTACAGAGACAGTCGGTGTGTATGCAATGAGGCGAAAACAGGACACTTATAACTGCATGTATAGGTGAGCAAGAGCAGCAATTTCAACCATCTACACACATTGCACTCGCTGTGTATGCACTGGAGTATATCTCTCTATAGAATCCTTGAGAGAAGTAGATTAATTCTGGTTTGAAACAGCTGACATGATAACTAACCAGGATTTTAATTTAAAAAAAAAACCTTAAATACTCTGCAACTCTTAAGAGAAAAAAAACTTACTGAATAGGATTCCAGAGAGTGAATGACAGTCTTGGGAATTATCTGGAATGCATTCAGAAAGATATGGTCCTGTTTGCACTTGTGATGCATCTGCTGGTATATCAGAAGTGGCACAAGTGTCTGCACCTTGTTTGTGCAAGATGGGAAGCTGATGGTCTACTGATACAGACTTAGAGCCTGGGGAATAAAAACCAGTTTCAAGAGTGACTGGTTGTGTCTGCATCTATAAGGAAAGATTACCATTGCCTGTGGATTCAAATGAGAGTTGAAGAGGTTGAAGTTTCTGCATGTAAGGAGAAAAAGCTTGAGCAGATCAAGATCTCTGTATCTGTTACTTCAAACACACAGACAGCTGATTTCCTAGTCCAAAAGGACACTACATGGGCAGGGGTTTGTTTATGGAAGCAGAGAGGCATGCTACAATGTTCAGTTTTATTCCATATGGCGGTTTTCTTTAAAGCTACTCATCTAGAGTGCTTTCTAGTTAGTAGCTATTAGCATATACAGCTAGAAAAACATTTAAATATTGGGTAAGGTAATGTGATGTGTTTTCTTCATGCTGCAGAATTTAGTATCTTCATTAATGACATGGAGTGTGGGATTGAGTGTACCAGCAGCAACTTTGTAGATCACACCAAGCTGAGCAATGCAGTTGATTTGCTTGAAGGAAGGGACACCATCCAGCGGGACCTTGAAAGGCTTGAAGAGTGGGCCAGTGTGAATCTCATGAAGTTCAACAAAGCCAAGTGCAAGGTCCTGCACATGGGTCAGGGCAAACCCCTGTATCAGTACAGACTGGGGGAGG